TCTTGATATTGTAAGTATTAAGCTTACTTCAACTATGAATATCAAAATCATGATATAAAAGATTGCACTCAGTGTATGCAGTCAAGAGAAGCAAGAGAGTCAAAAAACTAGCAGAATCAGTGAGCTTGAAGACACTTACTGATATTCTATGAAAAGTCTTTAAAGTGAAAGAGATACTCATGTTAGATGATTCTCTGAATTCTGTGAACACTAAGAGAAAGCAGGCTTCTGACTGAGAAGCAGATAAGAATGAAGTGAATACTTATCTCAATGCCTTAAGACCTGAAATATTAATGTATGAGAGACACTTGAGTAAGAATTGAGAGATGACTGCAAAAGTATTAGCAGACACAGAAGCTTCTATATAATATATTGATAATTATATGATTCAAAGACTGAAAGAGGTCTGCTGAGTGAAGAATTCTCAATATATAAGATTATCTGATAACTGATATTTGATATTACCTGTAAAAGTAAGAGTTTTCTTACACTTCAGAGAATGATCTTGCTATATTTAAGCACAAGAGCTGCAGAATGTGAAATATAATCTTATTCTCAGACTCAATTGATTTTAAAGGTTCAATTCACAGATTCAATAATGTACATATCATATGTAGTTGACTGATAGAAAGAAAGCAGTTCATACAATTCTATTAACTGATATGAGAAGAACATTTCACATCTCTGATATAGAAGAATTAAATCTGCTTATATATTAATAAGTAAAGAGAATGATTTGCAAGATCTTATCTGAAAACATTCTGTATGTAATACAGAACCTGAAAGTGAAGAAAATCAAGATAAAGAATATACAGAAGAATAAGCATATGAAGAAGCTTCTCAAGAAGCATGAGAAGATCTTCTGAACAGATCTTTCACTGAAATTGCTGCTGAAACAAGGATTTGTACATGAGATTGACACAGAGAACATAAAACCAGTCAATCAAAATACATACTCTCTGTCATAAACATATCTTGAAGAACAGAAGTGTCAGATCACAGACCTTCTAGAATATAGTCTCATACAATTCTCATCAAGTATGTGAGGCTTTTCAGTCCTATTCATGAAAAAGATGAGTGAGAAGTGACAGATGTGTATCAATTATTAAGCACTTAATAAGCTTATAATCAAGAATGAATATTCACTGTCATAAATTCAACAATAGTTGAATACAGTTGAGAACATCTGATATCTATTAAAGATCAATCTTCTCTCAGAATACTGACAGATCTGTATAGATGAACTGTCAGTTTCATAAACTATGTTTAATACATAATGAGAAAAGTTTGAATTTCTGATAATATCATTCAGTCTGACAAATGTGTCTGTCATCTTCTAAATGATGATGAATACAATTCTTTATAAACAGAATGAAATCTCATATCTTATATATCTTGATAACATTCTAGTCTTTTCAAACTCATATAATGAATATCTGAAGCATCTTGATAAAGTGCTTATAACTCTGACAGAGCATAAGCTCTACATCAAATCAATCAAGTGTGTGTTTGAAATGAAAGAGTTGAAGTTTATAGAATATGTAGTGAGTGATAACTGTATACACTTCATTCTGAAGAAATTGAATGTTATAGTAAATTAACTGTGACTGAGAAACATATATTATATACAATAGTTTCTTGAGTTAATCTCATACTATCACAGATTCATCAAGGATTTTGTATAAATATCTGCATCACTCTCAGATCTCTTAAGAGAAACAGATACAAATCTGTGAAAGAAGAAGTTTCATTCAATCATCTGAAATATCACATGCAAAGAGGCTTTTCTCACACTGAGAGAATATATAATAACATCTTCAGTGCTTATTCAATCAAATCATAATAAATCTTTCTACATTGAGACAGATGCATCTGAATGAGCTATCAGAGATACTCTTCTACAGATAAGCAAGAATGACAAGCTGTACTCAGTGACATATAATGATAGAAAACTATCAGATGCTGAGCTCAATTACTTAGTATATGAAAAGAAATTGCTAGCAATCAAGCATACACTGATATTATGAAATAGATATATCAATAATAAGTATATAACAACAGTGATCACAGATCATGAAAGCCTTGTCTATCTATAATTGATAATAAAACCTTTCAAATACTTAGTATATTGAATCTCAGAGTTCTAAGCATATAATCTTTATATTAAATACTGAAAGAGATCAGATGCTGTGATGCCTGATACAATCAGTCACAGACTTGATTTCATGAATGAGAATTCTGCAAATCAAATATAAGAAACATTCATATTAAACACACTGAGAGAATGCAAGGAATCAGAATGAGTGAATATCATAATCTCTCACTTGAAGAATGACAAGATGTTGAATAATAAGCATCTTATGAAAGAAGTAGAAGAGATGCTTCTGAACTTCAAGCTGGAGAAATTGAAAAACAACATTGTGCTTTACTGTGATCTAGAATACACAGAAGCTCTCTATCTAGAATCTTCATTTAGACACAACTTGATGACTCACATGCATAAGAAATTTGATCACTTAGAAAGCCCTGAACTCATGAGTGTACTCAAATCAAGAGTATACTGATCAAGCATGACTGAGAACATTCAGACATACACTCACAAGTGCCCGAATTATCAGGTCACAAAAGAATCTAAGAAAGAATTAGAATGCAAGAAAGTACAATATCAGATAAAGTGTATAATACAACTGTTCAAACAATGAGAGATGAATCTCATAGACATATTACTGCGAACATCAAATGAAAATCAATGAATAATCACTGCTATTGATTACACTACTGGCTGATCAGTCGCGAAATCAGTTTCAGAGGCAATAGAGAAGGTGATGATGAAGTTCCTACATGATGAAATCTATGTCAACTATGAAATGCCGCGTGAGATCCTAACTGATAATAGTGTGAATCTCATAGAAGAAGTGATGAGGCATTTTGTGAGCCAGTTACAGACAAGATATTATAGAACAACATCATATCATCTGCAGATGAATGAGAAGATGAAACACTGAAATGAAATCTTAGATAACATGCTGATGAAATATCTAGTGAACAAGTCTATAAGACTATGAAATGAATATCTCAGGCAGATGCTACTGGTCACACAGATTCAACAGCATGCAGTCTTCAAGCATTCACCATTCTACCTGTTGTATGAATTGCATCCGCGCATCCCAGAGAATGCTTCAGAAAAGGTGAAGAAGAGAATAGCAGTTGCAGACACAACAGTCACAGATGCAACAGTCATGAATATAATAGTCACAGATGTAGCAGGAACAGCAGTTACAGACACAGCAGTAGCAGTTGCAGATGCAGCAGTCGCAGACACAGAACCAAGATTGAAAGAGATCAGTCATGCACATGCAAAAGCTAACAAGTTACTTCTGAACTGAGCAATTCAATTGAAAAGAATATAAGACTCACTAGTTAAGAAATCAAGTCTCAAGATGAGAATATAAGTTCTCATACATAATGAGAGTTCTGAGAAGTTTCAACCTAGATGGTTTGAGTTATATAAAATACTCAAATCACATTTTCTGAGAACATATACATTGAAAGAATCAGAGGGACAGATCTTACACAACTTAATAAATAATTCATAACTTATAAAAGCAAAGATGCAAGATCTGAGTGAATTATGATTATTCACAGCACTATTATCAGTATTGAAAAAGAAGAGACTTACAATTGAAAAGTCTCACAAAGTAAGAGAAATCATAGACACTTACAAATCAGATAATCTCACTTATTCTGATCTTTCCACAATTATAAGAAAAGAATGAGAAGAAATAAAGAAATCAGATAAATATCACACTTTAATAAGTGATGAGACTGTAGCCAGTTATACAATAATATGCTGCAGACAGTGAGTGTAACACAGTAAAGAGCAGTCTCAGAGCAGCAGACTTGCATATGAGTCAGATCACAGAAGAAAAAGAAATTCAGAGTTGAATTCAACTGTTTACACTAGTTCAATTGTAGAGATCACAGAGGATGAACTATCTGAAACATCTGCAGATATATGAGATCAAGTCATCTTAATCTCTGAGAATGCTCAGAGATTGAGTGAGATTAGTTTCAATGAGCTGTTCACTGTAGTGATCTGAGTGAGTGAAGAGAGACAGTATAATATATGAGACAGAATTACAAAAGATGAAAGCTGCTGAATCTAGTCACTGAACACTGTATCATATAGAGATCATGTAAGAGTAGTGACTAGCAGATAAAGAAAAAGCATAAGAAAAGAAATAATAAATTGATCATCAACTGTAAGAATTGACTGCAAAAGACAAATGTTATCATACACACTTCATTCATTTTCATACATTACATGTTTAATCTATTTCCAACATCATCTGAAAAACATCAAAAACAAAGAAAATCTCAAAACTCAAGATCTGCAAGGAATTCAAGAGCTGCAAGTCACTCTTACAACAATATTATACATGTCTCTGATTCCTCTATCACTCTGCATATGACATTAATGTCATTTATCACAAGATTAGCTGAAATGCTAATATAGAAATGTGTACATGTACATATAGAAAAATTGAAGAAGAGCACAGAACCTGCAGAACCAGAAGTCAGAGCAGAGAGAGTGAAGACAGAAGAAACAGAAGAGAGAGACACAGAATCAGACAAACAACAGAAGTCACTCAGAACTGAACACTTATAACTCAGTGTGCACACAACCTTCTCTGCAGAGAAGGAAGAGAAAGCAATAGAAGAAGCTTAAGAGTGAAAGAGAGTAGTCTCAGCAGTGTTATCATCTTCAATTAAAATGATCTCTGACACTGAAGCAACTAAGAACTATTATTAGCATATGAAACTGCAAAAGCAGGGATAACAATTATCAAATGAACACCTGCTGGCCTTAGAATTGTACACATAATTACAACATGCACAAGGCTTCTCAGAAAGAGAGAGAGAGATATAGAGAAATGCAGAAAGCAGAATACAGTATGTGAACAGCTCATTTTCATAATGACATTTCAGACAAGACATACAAGTCTCATGTCTGTGAGTGTAAAAGAGTATAACATCTGCATTCCTGTTTCTGAAAACACAGATATCTTTTACCTGCATCATGAAGTCAGATGACAGATATCAGAGAATAGACTGATATAAATCTATCATTCTGAAGAAATTTGTCAGAGTGAATGTCTCTGCAATATTGAACTTTACAGTTGTAAAAAGCTTCTTAATATCTGTGAACATCACAACTTTGTGTACAGTAAAACTCATAATAATTTTCTCTAAAAATAGAAAAATCAGTGTCAGAAAGAAAAGATGAAAAATGAAAAGACTTATAATCTTAACACTGTTAAGAGAAGAGATAATTCTCTGAAATGAATGAACAATTGTCTCATCATGAATATTTAAAATGAACATAATAATCAGTGTTTGTGACCAAGCTTCAGATAGTCATGTCATACATTGTCTTTATACAATAAATTATTCTAGAGATTGATAAGAAGGGTGAGAGTGTACACACTGAGAAATGTGGTTCATTCAGTCTATACAATATCTCCTTGAAATGAGGAGAGCTGATAATGAAAGCAGAGATGGCAAAACCAGAAGCAGCAGAAGTGAGGGTCATGGAAACAGGGGTAGCAGAAGCGGGAGAACCAGACACAGAGACAGGTGTAGAAGATTGAGAGTGAGCAGCAGAGAAAGAAACAGAGAGAACAGGAGAAGATGCAGAAGACTCAGTCACACATGATATGAGCAATTTCTTCATTATCATGTTCTTCAAGTTCTCAATCAATAATTCAACATTGAGTTCACTATCATCAGTGAATGCAGATCTGTCAATGTGTGAAGATTCTATGTGAATAAAAACAAACATCAGCATCTGTGTCCACGCAAAATTGTGCCAGAAAACATGATCAGAAACTCACTGAGAAGGAAACAGAAATGATTGAGAGTGTACAAGAAGGTGGAGAAGATGTGTCATTCATAATAGTATATTCTGACAATTGTTAGAAGATAAACAAGTCCTGGTCACATTTCACAACATGTTATACTTACTGCTAACAAACTGCCTGATATGAGCACTATAAGAATGCTTGTTGTGGGAACAAGAAGCCATTACTAGAAATGCATACAATGTAATAGATAACAGATAGAAGATGTTAAACAGAAGAAGAAGCAGTAATCTGAAATGAAATAGTGATAATATTCAATGATGATGATGATGAAGAAGATGATTGAAGAATGAGAAAAGTTAGTGAATAAGTGATGTAATATAGTGAAAGTTTCTTTATGAGAGTGTACACAGAATGCTAGTCACATCAGAGATAGGCTACATGATCATGAATGCTAGTGACATGCTAATTCACATGAAGCTAGAGTGAATGTCATGATTATATGAGCATGACTGAATCTGGTGAGAAAGAATGTGATTCAGAAGAACATACAGCTGTTGAATAATAATGCAGCTGCTTCTGAACTTGCTTACAAGTGTAAAGAGGCCATAGCAGCCGCTAATTAATTTAGCGTATGATATATAAGAAGCCGGCGTACGCCTGTAATCGTACGCTGACTTAAGCAACCTTTGAATCACAAAACTGTGATCATTATAAACATTACAGATAACGTGTACTTGAGACTTGTATAACTTCAAAGACACAATTCATACATAGCTGTTTATAAGTCAGGTTTATACTTCTGATCAGTGTTAATAGACTTACTTATAGAGATAGAATCAGTTAATACTGTAGAGTTAATTAGAGAAGATAAGCTCATCTATATAATAGCTTTATAAGTGTCTGAGAATCTTGCAGTCATGAAAACTGAGCTTCAGATATCAGAGAAATACTGAGATCTTACAGAGATATTCAGCTCAGTAAAGACAGCTGAGCTTCTCTCTCACTATAAGAAGAATATGATAATAGATTTGATAGAAGAGTAGAAATTCTTCTGAGAATTAATCTATAAGCTCTTTCATTATAAAACAGAGATCTTGCAGATCTATATAAAGAAGAATCTGAAGAATAACTTTATCTAATCTTCACAGGTCTTCACAGAAGCCTCTGTGATATTCATAAAGAAGAAGAATAAAGATTTCAGATTATATATAGACTATTATAATCTAAACTTCAAGATAATAAAGAGTCACTACTTTCTATCTCTGATTAAGAATGTGATTAATTATCTCACAGAAGCTGTTATATTCACATAACTGAATATAATCAATATATATACACAGCTGTGAATACAGTCTGAGAATGAATAAAAGACTGTCTTTAGAACTGTACTGAAATTATTTGAATATCTAGTAATATCTTTTAATCTGATTAATATTCCTGCAGTATTTCAGTCTTTTATTAATAAAATACTTCATATATATCTGAATATCTTTGTGATAATATATCTGAATGATGTGATAATATACTCTGTGAAGAAGAAAGAACACACTGAGTATATATAAAGTATATTAAAGGTCTTAGATAAGATAGAACTGTATATTAAGTTTATAAAGTATAACTTCAGTGTCTACTGAATTAATTTTCTAGAATATGTAATTATCATAGATGATATGCCAGCGTGGCTCAGTTGGTAAGACTGGTAACCAAGGCCGCACACATTAGAGATGCGTGGGTTCGAATCCCACCACTGGCATCTGCCACTTCTTACCCATGAAAGCCCCCATGTAATAGAGGCTGAGCCTAATTAGTAAGGCTTGGTGCGGGGTAGAACTCTCTACTGCAAGTCAAGCCACTAGTTAAGTGAGATCCTGCGAACACTCACCAGGGCTGACATGAAGTGTCAATGTCCCACTATTCTACTGTGCACCCATCAAGGTTCTAATGATATAGAGTCAAGTCTAATGTAGTGGTTATACACTACTTAAGCAAGTCTCTAACTAGGGCTGTCATCAGAGCTGAGCTCCCCCTCAAATACAGAGAATGATTTTGAAAATCACCTGACTAGCAGGTCTAGACATGCATCTAGGCCCTAGACAGAGCACTCTGATAGGCTAGTGCCTGCAAGCTCACTGCCAACCTCTAATACTGGCAGGGAGGACTGCAGTCATCAAGCCTATGATTAGTCCCTAACACAGGGCGAGGCCATGATGACTGATTGATAGGCCTATGAACATCTAATGAGACTGAGATCAGCAATCAGAAGCTTGGTGTGTACACCATCAAGTGAGCAGTGACAGCCACTAACTAACATCTCTGAAAATTAGTAGCTGGCCTGAGAGGATGGACACAGTGATCAGTTAATTATAGAGGGTTAAAATGTAATTAGCTTAAGATGCATTCTGTGAGTGACTAGCATCTGTAGTCTCATAAAAGAGGAAATTATTTGAAAGAGGCATGAATATTCTCTGATAGTCAAGCTGCTTTAAAAAGACTTAGAAATAGTCAGATTTATAATAATCAAATGAATCTTGAACTGATCTTAAACTCTGTTTTGAAAATTTAAAAGAGAAGAATATCAAAGCTGATAATTCATCTACACTGAGTTTCTACTCATATAAATATTCATGATAATGAATTGGCTGATTCAGCTGTAAAAAAGAGTGCAGAATTAAGCAGATCTATTCCAAAAATTATATTCTGGTCTTTTATAAGAAGAAAAATAAAAGAATCTTGTTTAGATAAGTGAAATGAAAGCTGACAGAAATAAAAGAAGAGTATACATTATTCAAGATTTGAAACAAAACTCAAGTGAAAATCTTGTTTAATTAAATGTAAAAAGAAAATATTCTCATCTATAATACAGCTGAAACTAGAACATGGCTATTTCAAATCTTATATACAAAGATTTAATGATAGATTTGACTCAATAGAATGCTCATTCTGCAATACAAATGAGAATTCTGAGTATATTGTAATACACTGTGCATTACACAATAGTCTCAGAGTCAGATTGAAAGAGAAGTATAATCTAAATCAATTAAATATGAGATTCTTATTCTCAACTGAGACAGAAATTAAATACTTAATAGACTTTCTATCAGAAACTCAAGCAGCTATAAGAAAATGACTAAATTCAGAATTATCTGAATATGAAGAGAAGGAAATCAATCAGATATAGTCTGTTAAAACAGCTATACACTGTCTTTTAATAATTTATTTTGTTATAGTCTCTCTTTACTTTATCTTTTTCTTTATCTTTTTCTTTCAATTTCTTTCTATCTATCTGTTTAATGTGTCTATCTTTGAGACTGTGTTCTTTTTCTCTTTTCTTTTGTCATGATATTGTCAAATGATTTCAAAGTATTAAAAGATGTTAAAACACTGTAATTTGTAAACAGTTTTTGTATTCTGAGCTGGAATTTTCTGATTTTGTATATCTGAAATTGATGAATGTATAATAGTTAACTTTACAGACATAGAAAAAACCCTGAGAACTAAAGTTCTCAGATAGATGTCATAGTCTCTGACTGCATACATCTATAATTGAAGAATAATAATAATAATAATAATCATAGATGATATTCAGATAAAATCTTTATAAGTTAAGACTATTCTATTATAACTGAAGTTAACTAGTATTTATAAGATTCAGATCTTTCTGAGCTTTGTGAATTTCTATAGATGATTTATCTTTATATTTATAAGAATCTTCTTAACTCTTACAGACATACTGAAGAGTGAAAATAAGAAGAAGTCATTTCATAAATAGAGAATGAAAAGATTGTTGAGAAGAGAGAACTGTAAGAACTTTCTTACTTCAGAAGCTTATAAGATCTTTATAAGATTAAAACAGATATTTATAGATACAGTGATACTGTTTTACTTTGATCTCTTACTCTTAATCAGATTGAAGACAGATATCTTCTTCTTTATAATTTCAGAAATAGTCTCATAACTATAGCTAAATAAGAACTAGGTTTCAGTGATCTTTTTCTTATAAAAGATGTAATCTGTAGAGATTAACTATAACATTTATAATCAGAAGCTTCTTATAATAGTGAAATTCTTTCATCACTGATATCACTACTTTGAGAGCCTTGTAACAGTGATTACTGTTAGAACTGCTTATAATAACTTATAACAGTTTACTTCAATTAAGAAACTCTTACAATGACAGATTCACTGAGCTCAGAGACTGAGTAAGTTCTGATTCAAGATAGAATATATTAAGAGAATTAAGAACTCAGTGAATAGACTCTCTCACAGATCAGACTATGTTAAGAAGACTAGAATAACAGACACAGAGAGACTAGAGAAGATAGAAAAGCTTTACAGAATGCTCAGACTGAGTGTTATAAAGAGATTGATTGAAGAGTCTCTCAATTTTCTATAAGAGAAGAGAAAGAAGAGAGAGAAGAAGCCTGTATAACTACTCTCTATAACACTGAGAGTCAACACTGTGAGAATCTCTATGAGAATTCTTGAAGAGAATATCTATAATCTGAAGAGTTTATGAGCTTTGAGAAGCACTGTGAAAGACTTGATATAAGAAGAAACAGAGTATAAGAATTTATAAGATCTTTTATTCAGATTGTCTGAACTACAACTGAAGAATAAATATACTCAGTATATTCAGAAACTGCTCACAGCAGGAATCAACTCTGTAGAAATAAAGAATTGAAGAGACTTAAATAGTCTCTTATAAAGAGAGAGTCAGATTTATATACCTGTAAATAAGTTTCTATATATAGAACTTATTAAAAGATATTATAACTCTTCTCTAGCAGATCATTTTATAGATACTAGAACTCATGAGTTACTTATAAGAAAATACTTCTGACTGAAGATGCAAGAACTTGTGAAGAAGATAGTAAATTCTTATACTATTTATCAGAATTTATGAATAGTATAATTCAGACTATATAAAGAACTTACTTCTCTACTCATCTCATGAGA